CAGCAGGTGCTGCTGGTGGTGATGGTGATAGTCTGGTGGGGGCGGTGGGGCTGTTGCTACTGCGCTTTGGGAGGCCGTAGGAGGAGCAGGAGGGGGCGGCGGAGGCGCTGTAGCGGTGGCAGCAGTGGCAGTGGCCTTGGTGTGTTTGCCAGCCTTCCTCGCCCCTTGGCCATGCTGTACTAGGCTCAGGAGCTGCAAGGTGCTCTCTCTTTCCCGGTCTGAGCTTTCAGCTCTACCCCGTTCATAGCGTCCTTCGCAGCTCAGGTGGTGCTGGCGGCAGACGGCGATTCGAGCCCGGAGGCGCTCCACGATAGCACTGTGCACTCTCGGGGTGACTGAGCCCCCTCCAAGGAGCCCCGCCCCAGAGGCCCCCCCTAGCCCTCCTGCGGGGGCCTGCGGGGGCGCTGTGTCCCCCATCTTACTGGACACAACGTTTGCTGCCTCTGGGATGGGGAGGTGGAAAGAGCTACTGCTGAGTGTTGCAGGCAAGTCTGTTTTTGAAAATGTGAGCTCAGTGTTCAGGGCCACATGAATAGAGGTCTTCAGAGGTTGGGGGGGCGGAGCAGTGGAAAAGGTATGGGGGAGGGGAGTTAGTAAAAAGAGGGTGGGGAGAAAGAAAGAAACCAATCGGAAAGGATAAGTTGGAAACAAACCCTGATCAACTTAATCTAATTGCATTTGACAGCTCTGGAGAAGTTGGATAGAGTTGGTGGATTTTTCCCCCCCAACAAACTGACAAGAGCCACTAGGTACTTTGTCAACACACGCTCTGGGGGGTTAGATCAGGAATTCGGAGATTGTCAAGGGAGAGACAGAAACGCACAGGAAAAGGAACTGAGGGAAGTGTGAACAAGAGAGCTGGGCTCCCCCTCACCTAGTTGTTTCAGAAGATTCTTTATGGGGCTGTTTCTCCAGAGCAACACACATTTACCATGGTCTAGGGAGCCGGCAGCCTTTACTTTTTCTCACGTTTAAAAAACAAAACAAAACCCAAAAAAACCCATAAAACAAAAACAAAAAATAAACCAGGGCTGTCTCAGGTTTTTGAAGTCAACGATGGAAATGTGCAAAAATCAAGGGAGACTGTCTTGTATTTTAATTTTTCCTCCCTTTCCCTTCGCTCCGTGTTTTCTCCCCTTTGGGGTTCTGTAGGATATTGTCTTCTCCCCAAGGAGGGAGATGGCTTTTCAATTGTTAACAATGTCAGTGGCTGGACTTTAGGACCATGCTTTTTTCTTCAGCTAATCCAATCACCGGTAAAATCCTCATTCCCTCTAAGGTTTCCTAACCTGAAATGAAAGCAATCTGAAGTCGCTTGCCACTGAGAGAGATCCTTCAACACATTTTTTCTTGCCCGCTTACGTTTCTATTGCTCACCCCCGGCTCTATTCTAATACAGTATCAAGAGAGACAAACTCTTCAGAGAGTAATTTACAAACGATGGTCAAACTTACAAACTTCCAGCAAATTGCACCGAGTCATGTCCAGCCACTTTTCTGTCCACTTTTGTACATTCCATCCCCGGCCAGAGGATCTGAGGGTCTGGACTCGCAATAAGCAATGTGGTTCTATCTCTTGTATTGCTCCGCTTTATAGATGAAAAAAAAAAAAAAGTAGCTTGTATTTTCCTTTCTCTTTCTCGGGTCTGTTGTTCGCCGCTTTGCTGACACTGGCTCCCGCCCGGAGTCACGGCGATACACAGGCTTTCATTGTGCTCCGATAGGAGAGGGAGAGAAAGAGAGAGAGTGAGACTGAGAGGGAGAAAGAGAGAGCCAGCAAGCTGCAGAGTGGGGAGGGGGAGTGAGTAATCGCAGCTAGGCACCGGGGAAAGGGGAACGCAGAGGGCCTCCCAGTGGCTGAAGAGGTAAATCCCAAAGCCTGCACATATCAACAGCCCTCATCAGCTCAGCCTCAGACTTGGTGAAGGGGGGAAGACTGGGGAAATTCCCCAACCTCCATGCAACTACTTCACTAGCTCTAAATGTTTAAGAAATTCCAGACTGGGGAATGTATTTTCCCTTTCAGACCTACATTAGGCCTCCCCTTGAGGATCTGATTTTCATTTTTCAATATGCTGTAAATGACACCACTGAGCACCCTAGCCAGAGCTGGGTGAGCACTGAAAAAATGTTCAGAGATACTAAGGAAGACGGTGAATGTGCCCTGCTTGGGGGGTGGGGGGGGAAGGTGGTGGAGGGAGTTGAGGGACGTCCTGTTGTTAGCTTTTATAGGGCAGGTTGGTGAACGACTGTCTATTTGCTTACCTATTTAGGTGTGTCTGGATAGGTCCATCCAGATAATCACAAACAAGTAAGGGAGAAGTAGTACAATATTTTATGAGGATAATGAGATTACTAATACCATTCTTAGAAAGTTTTGTTTCTTTGGGAAAGTGCAAGCTCCAAAGCTCTCTAGTTTACATATACAATGAGGAAAATCAATATACAGTAGTTGTTTCAAGAAGCTTATTAACACAAATCAAACAGCTCTCTTACGGATTGTTATTCCTTCAACTCCCAATAATCCTACCTTTAAAATACCAAATTTCATAGTGGATTCTGCTTCTCATTAAACATTATGGATGTTAAGGTGAGTATAATATTGGAACCGTTAGGACCAAAAATATACTTTATGTCCTAACTTGGATGTCATTTGGAGTTGAGGGTCAAACCAACTTTGGCATTTCAATAATATAGTCCTGTTTCAAACTGAGCTATGATAGCAATGAGTGGACAAAACCAATGCAAACATTTCAAAACTGGATTTATTTACACTTTTGTTCCCCATAGGCTGTCCTACTTAAGTCTATCTCATTTTCACAAATCCTGGAATGCTGGTTTGGAAATAGGGACAAGGAAGTACTCTCCGATGGAACGTAACTTTTTAACTTTTCGTTGGAACATACTTCTGTCTGTCCTTTCCAAGGCTAAGGTCCTCACCACAGATATGGGAGAAAAAGAAAAAAAAAAAAGCCAGAAATATATCTTTGTTAGATATACAAAATGTGGATGGTCAACTGTCATGTGGTATAGGTTGGAAACTGCTGGCTGTGAGTTCAAAGACTCCAGGCTGATTGGCTCCAGACACCTGAAGAGAAATTTGATTATCTAAGGCCTCACCAATCTAGAATGCCCACAAGATGATCACGCCCTATTGAACCAATCACTGAACTGATCATGTGTCTAGGACCTCTGCCTCTAATTTTGCCCTTAAAAGTGCATGTAGGGAACATCTCCAGGAGACCGGGTCTTTTCAGCATGAGCTATCCACTCTCCTTGCTTTGCGCTTTGCAATAAAGCTGTACTTTCCTTCATCAAAAAAGAAAAAGAAAAAGGAAAAAAAAGTGGTGAAGTTTTGATCATTTTATATTTAATTAAAAAAACATTTATTTATAAATCTATTTGTTGTGATTTTCAGGTCACCCAGTCTGGGACTTGAACCTTGGTCAGCCACATGAGAGTCCAACATTTCAACCACCATGCCATCTGTTGGCCCTTACATTTGATTTCTTAAAAGCTGTTTGTTAGATAATATCTTCTTTCTTTCTTTTTTTTTTGGAGAGGTTTTTGCTATAGGGTTCGTGCACTCACCAGAGAGAGAGACAGAGAGACAGAAAGCAAGAAAGCAAGAAATCACCCCCCAGGGGGGATGGCCAATGCCGCAATCCCTTCTCTTCCATTCTCCTCTCAGGATCTTGGGCATGCACGCACACACGCCTGGCGTGAGTTTTAAGCCACTCGGTCCAGGACTCGAAGAGTGGTTGACTACGTGGGAGTCCAGTGACATAGCCATTACGCTAACTGCTGGTCCCGATAATATCTTCTTTCTACTACTATAGGTATTTTACTTTTAGCAATCAAACCTAATAGAAGAGAAAAAAATTAAAATTTAAAACTTACTGTTCACTGTATTCCTGCAGTAACACAGATTTTGATTAATTATACAGAATCCTTAGTCAACTATTCCTAAATGACAAACGGATTTCTGTGCTAGACATAGACATACATTAAAAACTTGTAGAAGCAGGAATTTAATTTTCATACCATATTCTAATGGTATTGGACATGTCTTTGGAGTGCCTTTTTCACATCTACCCTTATACAGCCACTTAATTTCAAGGTGATATCAACATCCTTATTTCTATTTACATCAGTTACTATTTTTTTGTTTTGTTTTGTTTTTAGAGAGAAATTTTTGCTATAGAGCACATGTGCTCACCAGAGAGACACAAAGTGAGAAGTCACTCCCCAAGATCTTGGGTGTGCGTGTGTGTGTGCGTGCGAACACACATGCTCAGTGTGAGATTTAAGCCTCCAGGTCCAGGACTCAAACTGTGGTCGACCACATAGTAGTTCAGTGATGTAACCATTACGCCACCTACTGGTCCCTCAGTTACTATTTATTTTAAAACATTAGTGTTTCAGGCACAACACTTTGCATATATGATCTCCTTTAACAACAATCCTGAGAGATAAGTATCATGAACACAATTTATAAGGAAACTGAGGCTCACTGAAATTAAACTATTGGGTCGACTTTACTGAAAAGTAAAGACAAGACATGATGCATTTTTGCATAGAAAAACACCATGACTTTACTGACAACCCAATATTTGTTCTAGTTCATGTAACTAGGAAGCAACAGAGTAGGACTCCAGCCCAAGACTGATTTCAAATCTATGCTCCTACCCCCATTGGGCTTACTGCTCAATATCAAGTGTAAGAGGAGTTAGAGAAAAGCCATACTACCTCACTGTAGTTTAAAGGTTACAACCACCTCTCAATCACTATTCTAGAGTCTAAGCAAGTCTTATTACTCCCCCAAGGAATGAGTGATGGAAGACTCACTCATCTGAGGGACTAAATGGTATCATAACAGTAAAACTTGATTCTCTGTGAGACAATCCCATACAGGAAAATTCCTGGTTCAGATCTGGAGATCTCACTCAGTATATCAGGATATAACTGGCCTGTAATCTAGGGCTGGCTGGGGGTAGAGTGTGGTATCTTTCACTACCTCTTGCTCATGAGAGAATTACACCAAAAAAAGAAAAAAAAAAAAAGGACAACTCGTCTGATTATGAGAGCAGGTAAGTCAGGAAATATGGTTAATTACATCTGCCTATGACACAAACATTTCTTTCCCCCTAGTTTTCCTTCTCATAGATTTGTTTCCCCTCACAATCCTAAAGTTTCTGTGTACCCCATGAACTCTTCCAAACATTACTTGCCTTTTGTTTCTGTCTTCCTCATCATCTCTACTATCATAACTGCCTAAAACTAAAGCACCAAATGCCTAGATCTGAAAAATGAAGTCATATGAGATGGACATGTAACATTCATAAGCTTACAAACTATTTTTTCAAAATCGAATCAATGAGATTGTTCATGGTAATACAATAATACACTGATGATGGTAACATAATATACACTAATGGGTATAAAGGTTAACTATATTTTTCAACATTTCTAGTTTCTTATAAACTCTGATCACTTTTTGGTCCCTTAATAAGCTTATCTGCATTTTCTATCAGCCTGTCTCTGATCTTCTTTTGGTGTTACCACATACCTAAAAGCCTTTTGTACTCTCCATTCATTCACCAAAGTAGCATGCTTGCTTGCAATGACTTCCAGTCAGACATTAGAAAAACAACTTATAAGCACTTCATGATCAGTAGTCTGTTGATCTAATAGGAAAAGCACTTAACACCAACAATGTGTCTCACCTAGGAACTGGGTCAGTTACAATTTTCAGTCCCTAGAATTATCAATATCTTAATTTTACAAATTGATTGCATGCTATTAAAAATGATAGATGAAAAAAATTTAAATCTTCCCAGTTGGAATTTGTTCACACTTCAGCTAGCTCAAGTCAGTCTATAGTGTCATTCATGAGAAGTGAAGATTTTTTTTAGTCATTGGTGAGACTTTAGAGATCATTCCTTTTTATTTTCTCTGGACTTTTGTTTTTACAGATCATTCACGATTCTTCACCCTTCCATCTTGATTACCAATTTTATTTTAAGTCTTTCTTACTTCTTTTTGGACACTCATTTCATTGTTACCTTTCAATTAAAGTTTTATTTTTATTTCCTGGAATTTAGTTAAGGATTATTTCTCCATGTATCAGAGAAATGCGAATGAGAATAAAGATATGTGACTGAAATTTCACACGTTTGAAAAAGTACGCACTTTTCCTTTCCAGATTATTTACATTAACAATAATTTCTTTTTTTTTACATTAGCAATAATTTAAAGAAATCATTTGCAAAAGGTACTCATGAATCTCTCTGAATGAAATGTAAATTTTTCCATATATTCTCATAAACTGAGGTCCATGCCATGAATCACATAATAAATGAGGCCAAGTTCAACAAGTGCTTGCAGTAAGAAAAAGTATCTAAAATTCTACAGTAGAACAGATCCTACTATAATATTACTTTGAAGAATTAAAGATATAGAGGGCCTGTCACTGGCGTGGTGGTTAGGATAGCTGGATCCCATAAGGCAGCTGTGTGGTTCAAATCCTGGACCCGGTAGCTTAAAAAACACACCAGATGACATGTGCATGGATGCTTACAATCCTGAAAGGATGGAGTTAGCAGGTGGCGTGGTGGTTAAAGGCACTGAACTCCCACATGGATGACCGCGGTTCAAGTCCTGGACCTAGCGGCTTGCTTTCTCACTTTCCCTCTCTCTCTTTCACTCTGTCCCTATCTGGCCAAATTTGAATGAATGAATAAATAAATAAAGTTAAATAAAGTAATTATTTTTTTTTTAA